AGCAATTGCACCTGGGCCCTGGCTGGGTAGCTCGGTCGGTTAAAGAGTCATCCCGATATATCAAGGTTGCAGGTTCAACCCCAGGCCAGGAATCAAATCAACCAATGAATGCATAAGTAAGTGCAACAACAAATCCATGTTTCTTTCTCTCAAATTGATAAAACACACACACACACACACACACACACACACAAAAAAAAACCAAACAAACAAACAAAAACACACACACACAAAAAAATCCCACAAAAAAATAATTGTCTTCTGTGGATCATACATTGACCCTCAATTCTTATTCCCCTTCTTTAGTCCACCTTTCCTGTCACTGACAGAGTTCCTTGCTCAAAACACAGAGTTGATATCACGTAACTGCTTGGAAATCTTCAATGGCCCCATTACCTTGAGAAAGCAAGCCAAGCTCCTTGGCTCTGTGGTTGGAGTGAAAAGCTATTGGCAATGGAGTCAGACCCCCATGGGTTTAAACCTCACCTCCGTGCCCTGAGGCAAATTACCCAAACTCCTGTGCCCTCGGTTATAAAAACAGGGCTACCAGCACCTTTGTTAGGTTGTTCTGAGATAATAGTATTTCTAAGTGTATGAAGTAGCAAACAGCAAATGGCAGTTATGCTTCCACGTGTCATTCCACACTCCTCTCGATCTGCATACCACCTGCCGAGGGAGAAACCTCAGCACACCCCAGCGTTCCCACAGACACACCCGTCGGTCCTCCAGCTACAGATGCCGACCTGCAGCTCCCCAGACAGGCTCTCTGCCTCCTTCCTTTGCTTATGTTATCGCTCCCTGTTGGGTGTCTCTTACTCTTACTTCTCTCTATCAAATACTATGCAATACACCATGTCCTGGGTCAATGTTTGTGATTTCTGCATTGGGGACTTTGTTGTAAGCTTCTTGGGTCAGAAACTGTCTTCCCATTCAGCTTAGGAGTCCCCACCAAGCCCCAGCCAGGTGCCTGGTTCAGAACAGCCAGTTAGTAAATGTCTGTTAGAAGAATTTATTCCAAAAGAAACTTTATTTTACTACTACTTCTATTTTTTAAAAATATATATTATTGATTTTTTATAGAGAGGAAGAGAGAGGGATAGAGAGCTAGAAACATCGATGAGAGAGAAACATCGACCAGCTGCCTCTTGCACACCCCCTACTGGGGATGTGCCCGCAACCAATGTACATGCCCCTGACCAGAATGGAACCTGGGACCTTTCAGTCCGCAGACAGACGCTCTATCCACTGAGCCAAACCGGTTTCGGCACTAGTACTTCTATTTTATTTATTTATTAGTACTGCTTTATTTTTCTTTTTACCAGCGAGTTCACCTTGAGGGATGGCACTCATCTGCAGGTAAGTGTAAAATCCACACGTGTTCCACAACCACTCTCATTTCGTTGGGTCCTCAGCTAAGATATTTCCCAGTTTTAGCTGGTGGAGGTGAGGAAGAGAGTAGGAAACCAATGAGGACTATACAAATGTTGTTGATAGAGTAAGATGTGGCAGCCATTTGATTTTTTCTTTTCTAAATGAAACGTGACTTACCTACAAGGAAGATCACACATCTTCGATGTAAGTGGAGAAACATCGATTTGATGTTACACCACTCAGCTCAAGGTATAGAACGCCCTTTGATTTTAAAACGTTATTTCTACCTTGAAATATCTCTCAAATCCCTTCTCTCCTTCCATCCTTTCTTTCTTTTCTTTCTTTCTTTCTTTCTTAAAATATTTTATTGATTTTTTACAGAGAGGAAGAGAGAGGGATAGAGAGTTATAAACATCAATGAGAGAGAATCATCCACCAGCTGCCTCTTGCACACCCCCTACTGGGTATGTGCCCGCAACTAAGGTATATGCCCTTGACCGGGACCAAACCCGGGACCTTTCAGTTGGCAGGCCTATGCTCTATCCACTGAGCTAAACCGGTTTCAGCTCCTTCCAACCTTTCACCCCCACCCCACTGCCACGTCTGGACCCAATCACTCGTCAGTCAGTCTCCCTCCCTCCCTGTCTCCCCCTCCCCATCACCCCCCCTCCTTTCCTGGTTTATGACACTCAAATATTTGAATAAATGAATGAATGAAATAATGAATAAACGAACGAACAAAAGGAACGCACGAATATATTGATAAGTGAATGAGACCCAGCTTGGAGGGGAAGGGAGGTCTGTAGGGTTGTGCCCAGATTGCTTAGGGTAAATTATTCTACTTTGCCTACATCAGGTTCAGGAGTGAAAGGGTTTCTCCTGGGAATTCAAAGGTAAGATTTTTTTTTTCTCTCTGAAGCGTTTCAAATGGAGATTGAGGGCACGGAAAGTTTGCACTGTGGGCGGGTCTCCTGCTCACCCTCCCCTCCTCTCCTCCCCCCTCCCGCCCAGACCTCCCAGCCCCGCCTTCACCCGAGCCTGCCGCCAGGTAAAGAGCCGTGGCCCTCTCCGCAGGGGGCCAGCCATCCCTGTCTGGATGCCAGCCAATGGGACCAGCGCTGCTTCCTGCCAGCCAATGAGTGGGAGGCAGGGGGCGGGGAGGGCGTGGCCGGCTCCCGGCGGTATAAAGGGAGGTACCACCTCTGTCCCGGGCCCAGGGAAGGAGGGGCCTGGGTCTCCCCTGCACCAGGGCCTCTCCCCCGGCCTCGGCGGGCGCCCTCCGGCTGGACCCAGGCTCAGGGGGTGAGGGGTCTCTGAAGCACCCCGATACCAGTTCAGCAGGAGGAGAGGGGTGCCCAGCAGCCCCTTTCCCCACATACACCCCAGAGCCTCTGGGGCGCCCAGGAGATGGAGGGGGCGAGGGATGCAGGACGGCGGGGCGGGGCCCGGGGGTGCGAGCGGCCGGGAAGCCAGGCCCCGGCGGCCTCTCTCGCCGGGAACCGCCGGCTGCGCTTCCCGGAACCTGCTCCGGGCAGACGGCGCCGCGCCCCCCGGGGCCCCGGAGCCGCTCTGCGGCCGCGCTAATGAGGCCGCCCGGGTGGAGCCGGTGCCCCGTCACTCCGGGCGGACGGCCAGGCCCGCAGTCCTGCGGCTCCGGGGACTGGGGCGCCGGGAGGGGGCCCGGCCTGCACCCTTGGGCTCCCCGAGAGGGAGCACGTCCCCTCCCCGCCGGTGCGCCCCCTCCTCCCCGCTGCGGGCCTGGGGCGAGGGCACCATTCCGATCGCCTCCCTGCACCGCTGCGTCCCCTCGGCTCCTGCCCCGGAACCCAGGACAGTCCCCGTGCGGGCGAGGAGGCCGGGCGGCCCGGGAAGGGGTGCGAGGACGCCACCTCTCTCTCCAGCAGCTCCTTCCCTCCCGAGCCCGCTCTGCGGAGACGGCTGCAAACCCTTTCGCCTGCCCGGGCCTCAGTGTGCCCCTCCGCGAAATGGGGCGAGCGCCGCGCAGGCCGCAGGCTTCCGCGAGCCCGTGCGTGGGGCCCGCCGGGCCCGCACGGCCCTGTTCCCGCACAACGGGGACTGCAGGGCCCGGGAGGGCGCGACCCGGGGGCTGGGAAGCGAGTCTGCCCTTCCCGTCCCGGCGGTCTCCCGGAGGCGGCGGACGGAGGCGGCGGACGGAGCCGGGCGCCGGATGAGGCCGCAATTATTTGCCAAAGTATTTCTGGAAAATGTCTCATTTCCCGTCGCTACGCTGGCCCCTGAACTCCGCAGCCTCTAATTGCAGACTCTCTGTTCCCTTCCAGAGCGGCCTTCCTGCAGTATTTACCGGAATGGGTGATACGCAGCGCTTACAACGTATATGTTTGTATAACTCCGTCTCGATCGCTTTTCTCTAATTACAGAAATAGCCGTGCCCATCATAAAAGTCCCATCTTGAGAGGTTTATAATGAAGGGCGTGAAGCCCGCAGAGGCAGCTTCAATTAGCGCCCAGGGCTCGCCGCTTTTTCATTTCTATTTATTTATTTATTTTTTACTGTGGCTGCTGCTGGCGGGGCCCTCGCAGGGCGGGCCCGGCGTGGGGGTTGTTTGTGCAAAGCTCAGTCCCGGGGCCGGAGCCCCACGAGACCCCGCAGGAGCCGGGTGGGTCCCGGGTGGGTCCCGCCCCGGGGGGCGGGGTGAGCCTGGGGAGTGAGGCCCAGAGGGAGCGCGTTTCCCGCGTTCACCCCCAGGTGGCGCTGCAGGACCGCGGATGCGCGCCCGGGGCGGGGCTCCCCTCGGCCAGGGCGCCCGCGAGGGGCAGGGCCGGGGCGGGGCGTGGGCTGGCGGCTGCCGTAAGCACGGGGTCCGGGGAAACAAGTTTTCCGGGGACTGAACGCTAGGCACTCCCGGGGGCTCAGGTCCATGGACGCAGGAGGTATAGGCGTCGCAGAAAGAAGGGGAGAAACAAAGAGGCCTGGCATGGGGAGAGAAAAGAGGAGTCACGCCGCCCAGAAAGCGGTTCTTATCCTTCTCGTTTGCCCCTGGGGTCCCTCCCGCCCTTCTCTCCACCAATTAATTCTTCATCCCCCACCCCCTGGGAATGTACTAGGTGCTCTGGACACAAACGCACGGGGGCTTGGGGGCGGGATGCTGCCTGATGCCTCCTCGCCCCCAGCATCCGGGCCCAGCCGTGGCAAGCTTGCAGGGCTCTCGTGCCCAGGGTGCATGCCAGTGTAAGAATTCCACGGTGCCAGGCATGCCAAGAAAAACAGGCGTGCTGTTCCTCCATTTGTCCCCAGGAAGCCCCACCCCTTCCCTTCTGGAGGCTGGTCACAGGGACGTGACTCACAGAATCCCCAGCGGGCACACCACGAGTGTGTGTACCATCTTGGGTCTCCTTTCCCCAAATATGTGCCGTTTCTCCTCTTACTCTTTTACCTACCGAGTCACACCGTCATACTACCACCTACGGGGCCTCGTGGTATTCCTGCCACACACACCCCTGGCTGTGTCCAAGTGTCCCCTTCCCCTCGACCTCCCTCTCCCCCATCACACAACCCCAGGGATATGCCCTGGTCACGGGCATCCTAAAGACGAGGAGGCAAAGAAAGGGCAGGAACCCTTACCGGAACACACACACACAGGAGACCACTGGCAGGAAAGGAAAGCAGGTTTATTAGGGCTCTGGGTTCGGGGCTGCCTGAGGTCTGAGTTCAACTCGGCTGGTTCTCGAGGCCCCAGGAGCAGGCCAGGACCATGAGAAGCGGTGTCTCGGGGCTAAAGCCATATTTTAAAAAAAATTTTATTTCAGAGTCTCTGTCCTGAGACCTCAGGAGATGGTTCTGGGAGGGCCTGGGCATACAGAGAGGGCTCTGAGCTTTTGCCAGGATTGGGCGGATTATCTGGGGGCAGGGAGCCTCGCACGCATGCACGGCCTTCATTTCAGTAACGACCATTTAATCTGTTCCTTGGCGGACTGGAGGACCTGGGGTGGGAGGAAGGTTGAGAGAAAGAATTCAGGGGGAATGTCGAGGCCTTGATACTGCGGTGAGGGGGAGGGCTACCGCCCACCTCCCCTGTGTCCCTGCAACTCCTGGCCGCTAGGTGGCAGCAGCTCATCTCCACCGGCTTGAGCCGGGGCCAGGCCCGCCAGAGGGAAGAGCAGTGCGGACTGGCTGCCGCCAGCTCCCAGCCCAGGCCCAGGCCTGCCCAGCCCTCTGGTTTCTGCCTCCGCAGCGGTGGGTGTGGCGGCAGGCCCTGCCTCTCCCATCCCATGTCGTGCTAGCTCCTGCCCACAGTGCCACGTCCAGGCAGACTCTGGGCCCAGGCCTGGCACTTCCTGAGCTCACACACCTCGGCAGAACCCGAGGTCTGCCCTTGGCTGGCAGTGTGTCCTCCCTACCCCGCCCCGCCGCTGATGTGGCACAGCTGGCACACAGCAGCTGGCCAGACAGGGCCTCAGGACACCTGCCCTCACTGTGCACGCCCACCTGCAGCTGAGGAAACAACCGGAGCCCAGTGCTTACGCAAAGCCGGACGGAGGCCAACACACATTCCTCCGGCCACCAGCCCTCACTCCCTTCTGAAGGATCACCCACAGCCTGTGTCCCTTCCTCTCTCAGGGACAGCGTGGCCCTGGGGGGGGGGGGGGGTTCCTCCTGCTTCTCCCACCAGAACCCAGCTTTCTCCTCGTTTCCTCCTCCTCTCACTCCCTGCAACTTCCTTGTTTTTTACTCAGGAATCCCATGGAAAGTGCCATGTCTTCGTTCTTCCTCCCTTCGTTCTTCCTCTCTCCGTGCACTCACTCATCTTGTTCTCACCACACCGCTGTGAGGAGGCCCAGAGAGGCTGGGACACTGGCCCCGGGCCCCCAGGCTCTCGGTGGGAAAGTGGATCGTCCCCGCCTGGGTTCATACATGCTCTGCTCACGCCCCCTAACCTCTCTGGACCGGAACCGGCCACAGGGCTGTCTGTCTTCCTCCCTGGGGAGCCGCGAGGAGGGAGAGGCAGGGTGAGCACCAGGGCAGTGCAGGCAAGTGGGCAGCACACCTAGGGCTCCACACGGATGTGACACACCCGTCCAGGCCCGGCCACCACAGCGGGAGGGAGTTAGTGCCGGGGCAGGAGGCTCCACAGAGTGAGGATTAGTCTGTGCAGAGAGACCTGCGGGGGGGGGGGGGGGGGGCAGACAGACGGAGGTCAAGCAGTCAGCTGGTTGGCAGGAGGTTGGCACAGCTGGGAAACCGTCAGGCCCCGGGTGCAGGGACCTCCCCCTGTGCCCCACATGCACCCCCGGTTAGGACCATGCAGGGGGCTGGGGGGATGGAGTTTTCCACAGCCAGGTCGCTTAGGCGCTAGGGGGCAAGCGAGGGGGGGAGAAAGTTAGATCTTATCACGGGCTCACGGATCCCTAAACAATGGCAGCTCAGACCTTAGCATGGAGGGGTGAGGGTCTGGAGGAAAACTCCTGTTTGCTGTCCTTTCTGGGCGAGGGGGGCCTCAGGGCTCGAGCCCTGGGATTGCTTTGGGGAAACCTGACCCAGCCGCCTCCAGGGCGGGCACTCACCCCAGGGTTTCCGTCTGAAGATGCCAAGCCAGAGAGCAGGCGGGCTGCCAGCAGGGCGTGATCAGTGATCAATGCCCCGCTGGGCACCGCCTCAGAGACTCCAGAAGCCTCCATGCCTCTCCAGCCATGGCTGTCACAGTCTGATCCCTCCCACCCTGACTTCTCAGCTTCACAGCCCCGCTCGGGCCCCCAGGAGGCGCTGCTCCCCACGCCCCGGCCCAGGCCGATGTGGGGCCTACCTGGGCCACGCTCTGCTCCGTCAGGCCGCCGTCATCTGCCTGCGGGGAAGCAGGGGCAGAGGGTCAGGCCGGGCGGGAGCGTTGGGTTTGAGAGGGAGGGGAAGGCTGGGGTGAGGGGTGCAGGGTATGGGAATCGGGCACTGCGCCCGGATCGCCCCTTAGGGGAAGCCCTGCACCTTGTCCCGTGGATGCCAGGCCCCGCAGGCCCTGCCTGTGGTGCACGGGGGGTACGGGAATGAAGGGGAGAAAGATGGGAGGAAAGGTTGAATTCAGGCAGGAAAGACAAACTAGGCAGGGCCATGCTATCTGGAGGACCAGTTCCCAATCTCAAGGCCAAGGCAGCCACCGGGTCTCGGAGAGTTTCCTTCCCACCAGGGAGGAGGGGAGGTACTGGTGATTCTACAGGGGGAGATGCAGTCCATCTCCTTTACTAACTGACACCCCCAAACACATCATCCCAGTCCTTGCTTCTGCTAGAGGAGCCTGGGTCCCCCTCCCCGGGCCCTGGCGGCCCCAGCACAGGGAAGACAGGAGACGGGAGGAGGGGAGCAGCAGCCCAGAGGAGGTGAGGGCCTGCAGGGGACTCTCACCCTAAAGTTCACTTTCTGGATCACTTGCTGGGGGTCGCTCTCCAGAATCACGCTGCACAACGATGAGAGAGAGAGAGAGAAACCAGGAGGAAAATCAGTGACAGGAATCTCCCCTCTGCAGCCTCTCGCTGCTAAGCCTCATCCCTCAGTCACCAGATCCTGCAAAATTCCCCTCCGGGGTACCTTCCCACTGGTATTTCTCAAATCAGAACTCTCCCTGGCCACGGAGATCCCTAACTCTGGTTCTTTATACTTCAAACCTGCTGGTCAGACACATGGCCGTCACTGGGCAAACGCTGGGCAACAGAGTGGGTTCAGGCCAGAAAAAACTGGGTGTCACAAGCAGGGGCTGGGACACTCAGAGCTCTGGAAAGTTCACTTCCCCTTCCAGGTCAGGGTCGGGTTCAGGGAAGTTCAGAGAAGGGAGGGAGGTGCCTTGGGGTCTCTACCTTGTTTCACTATTATTCCATGTCATCTAGAAAAGCTATGGGAACTCCATGGTCTTCCCTAAGCCTTGCCACCCATTTTGTAAGTGTGTGTGTGTGTGTGTGTGTGTGTGTGTGTGCTTTCCTTAAAGAGGTAACACCAAACTGTACAAACTGTATATACTTCTGGTTCCACAAAACCTAGTCTTACTCCATCTCTCTTGGGTCTCAGCAATTAGCACAAGGCTTGCAGTTAGCAGGAAGTCAGTGGGGAGGGAAGGGAGAGGAATTCCATAGTACCCCATCTCCCAGAGCTCCCTGCCCCCCGGGGCATGTGGTTCAGTGCCATGGAAAGAGCCCAATCTTGAACCATGCCCGTGGTTCTAGATCTTGGCCCTGCTGTGTGACCTTGGGCAAGTCACTAGAATCTCTGAGCCTCTGTTCCCTCATCTCTAAAATGGACGTAATGATAGAGGTGTGTGGATGTCTTTAAGATCATCAGTTTCTATTATCCTTTGCCCCTGAGGCAGAATTTCTTTTTCTCCCCAGTTATTACCTGCCCCCCAGTGGAAATTCACTAACCAACCCTTCTCCTGAGGACACTCAGCTTCCCAGAATGGGGCGCCAATAGCAGGTGACATTCATTGGAGGAGAACCATGAACTTGACCAGCATCACCTTATTTAATCCCCGTGCCCTATGAGGTAGCTCCTTCATCATCCTCATTTGAACGCTACGGAGAGGGAGGCTCGGGAGAATGAGTACCTGGCCCAGGTCACACGCCTAGGCAGGTCAGAATGGAGCACTAAGGGCGGGAGGTGTGGAGGCAGCAGAGCTCTGCCCGAATGAAGTCCTTCGAGGGAGGGGCAAGGGCCCTGGGCAGCAAACCCTTTCACCCGAACCCTGCCTATCGAACAGCCAGCCACAGCTGGGCACCAGGTTCCTTTCTTGTTTGCTTGACTCTAACACTGACCTAACCTCTGTCCTCATGAGTGGGTGGGGGGATGAGGTCACCGGGAATAGGCTGGGGAAAGGAGGGAGAAGGTGGCCAGAGGTGGCCAGCAGTGTATTGGGTACAATCTAGAGCTGATGATCTTTAAAGACACCCCCCTCCCCGTGAGTGTCCCTGACCACCCCCTCCTCACCCGCCATCCACAATCTCATCCAGCACCAAGAAGGCTCCATCCATGTTCTCCAACAGCCAGCGCTTCTCCATGTTCTTCCTGAGGGAGACACAGCTCCTGAGCCTCCCCAGGGCCAGGAGGAACCAGGTCCCTGCTCAGGTGAGACAGACCCCCTAAACCCCCGCCCCGCCAACCATACCCCACCGCACCCCCAACAAGCACTGGGAAGGACAATGTCAAGGGCTGTGAGGACATCGCCTGGGCAAGGGATTCCTGAGCAGAGGACAGGCTTACAGCCTTAAACCCTCCTTGCCCAACCTCCTACATGTGGGGCATTGATGCTGTGCCCACCATGGCACCCCTAATGCATTTCGGAACTAGTTTAGATGCTAGAGCGCTACCATACTCAACTGTGTTGACTAGGGAATTCACTTATTTTTGGATTTTCTAAGGTCATGCCTACTGGAATAGAGACTGGATAACGGAATTGGGGTTCAGCGAAAACCGCCTGAGCCTCAAGTCAGAAAACCTGAGATTGAGTCCCTGTTGTGATAGAAACCATTTGTAACCTCAGGCAAATCATTTCGCTTTTCTGTGACCTCATTTTCTGGCCATACCTTCATGCTGCCCTGCTCTGGGTGAAACACGTGGTTACGGGAAAAGCAGAGGTCTTGGAGGGGGATGCTCTGGCTCCAGTCTTAGTCAGGACAAAAGCATGGAGGAGGGGCCCTGTCCTTGTGATGTGTCAAGGCCTGGGGGATGGGGCCTTGAAGGGCCGAAGATCTCACTCACCTTAACACGTGGTTCAGGGACTCATACAGGCACGTGAGAACAGACATGAGCATCAACTGAGGTGGGGCAGATACGGGAGGAGGAAAATGAGAGAGCTTCAGGTTGGAAAGGCCGAAAGAAGACCTCAGAGTCTACCTGCATGGGACACTGCCCCTTTCCGGAGACGACAGGGCTGGAGGCTGCCTGCAGCTTGACCTTGGACATGGGTTGGGAAGCACTAGAGTGGGAGGCAGAGTGTATCCTTCTCTAGTGGTGTTCAAAAGAAAGAAAGAGAGAGAGAGAGAGAGAGAGAGAGAGAGAGAGAGAGAGAGAGAGAGAGCAAGCAAAGCTCCTGCAGAGAACACTCCTGTTCCCTAAGGAACCTAAGGGGCATAATGGGGATACCTGGTCCCAGAAAGAACCATTCTGGCTGCTCACCGACCCCCAGAGTTTAGAAGGAGGGGTACCCAGCTTCTACCCCAGACTCCAAGCCATTCCCCCCCAGACAGACCCTCCTTGCCACCCCAACCTCCTGAATTCACCTCGTTCTCCTGGGATGAGCCCACCACGTACAGGAAGAGGTCGATGCTGCTCTTGTAGACGATGGTCATGCCCCCGAAAAACGCAATCTCACCTGGAAGTAGAGGAGACTTCCGTTCTGGCCACCTCTGCCTGGCCCCTCCTCCCCAGCTGCAGCTCTGCACTGCTCCCCCTGGCTCATTCCTCCCTTTCTAGGGAAGCCTTGGAAAGACCAGCACTAGGAGCACTACCATCAGGCTGCTCTGTGTCCTTCCCTCCACCCCCTGTTTCTAGGGATTGCTTCATTCCGAGGCGTCAACAAACCCAGGTCAAGGTCGACCTTGCACTCCCGCTCCCACCACGTGCAATGCCTGGGACCCGTCCCAGGCTGGTAGGGGGCCCACAACTCAGCTGGCCTCTTCCCCTGAGAGTGAGGTCTAGGTGTGCAGGTGGTAGGAGGTTTGAGAGGGTTGGGTGCGGGGGGTGGAGGGTGAAGGTTCCCCAGACGTAGAGATGAACAGCTGGAAGGAGAGGTAAGAACCTCTGAAGAAAAGGAAATGGCCGTGGGCGTGCAGGCCGGACGGGGACAGATGGGTCCGGATGGAGAGGACAATGCGTGTCTGAGAGTTCCGGGCGAGGAAGAGGAGGGTACTTACTGTCAGTCCGGTTGGTCTTATTGAAGACATTTTTCTCGAAGGCCATCTGCTCCTTCATGGAGGGGAATGTGTCATCATAATACTACGAGGAAGGGAAGGAGAAGGGGCGATGGCCACTCCACAGAGCCTGGCTCCTCCGGGGATGGGTGGCAGGGAACGGTGGGTGCTGGCCAAGTGCCCATCTCATCTTTACTGCCCTTAGGCCTGCCTGCTCACTGTTTTCCTACAGACGCAAATTCTACGCAAAGAACAATAAAATGTAGAGGAGTTTGGAGGCCTTATTTATTTTTTATTTTTTGTCCTCTCCCAATACTTGGAGTCTTTTGTATGGTGAGCAGATGTGCGGTGTGCTGAGGAGATTGGGGTGATCACCAAGTCATGCTCTTTCTACACGGACCTGAGCCTGCAGGAAAGAGGGTAGATCCCGGGGTCCTTCTTCACCACCATAATAACCATAACTGCTTTATGATCCCCATTGTACTGACGGGGAAACTGAGGCGTGAAGAAGTCAGGTAACTTCTCACAGTTGTAGGAGCAGATCTGGGACTCAGCGCCAAGGATGGCTTGACTTCAGGCAGGTATGAAGACGAAATAGCTGAGGGAAAGTCCCCAGGACACATTGCACAATTCAGTCAATGCTGTCGCGCCTCTGAAGGCATGAAGGCAAACAAGCCAATCTATAAGTTATTTCCTAGCTGGTGTAGATACCATGTCCCTCCCATGGTTAGCTGTGTTGAGGTAGACATGTATTTGTGGATGAGAGTGGGGGCAGGGAATTTGTTTACTTGGGGGGCAGGGAGTATCCCTCAGCCCAGCCTGCACCCTCTTGCAGCCTGGGACCCCTTGCTCCTTACTGCTCAGCTCACTACTCCACCTGCCCCCTGGTGGTCAGAGTGCATCATAGCGACCAGTCCAACTGGTCATTCTGGTCCATTCTGGCTTTTATTACATAGATTTTCATAAGCCACATTCACTGGGATAGATACTGGATAACTGACTGGTTTGTGCAGGGAAAGCCACACTCCTGAGTTCCAAGCCAGAACACGTGAGGTCAGATCGCTGCCCTGCTATGAACCCTTCCGCGGGCAACTCATATAGCTTCTCTAGACCAGATCGCGTTTTCTTCATTTGTGAAAGAGCTGGACTCTGTGGTCTCTGATCCTGTCTGGGTCTAAAATCCTTAGACTCCTCCGACTAAATCCTCAGTGTTCACTAAGCTGTAGAAGAACAGTGGAGGCTGCTTGTTTAGAATTTGGGGACTAGGACCCCTGGGTCCCAGGCTCCACACTCCACTGACCCCTGAGTCCATGCCCGGGTCCAGCTGGCCGATGGAAAGGATGGCCAGACGACACTTCAGGGGATGTGATTGGGAACAGGGGCCAGCAGTCTGGCAGGGCAGCAGGAGGGGCAGAGGGACCTTTGCAGCGTCTAACAGGGTCTGAGCTGCGCTGCTCTGAGTCACAGAACCCGCAGCGGGGTCTCTCCTGAGGCAGGAGAGGCCGCTGGGGGGTGGGGACTCCTGTTCTCAGGACAGAAGCACAGTCACCAGGGGCCCTCGGTGAGGATGGGAGTTACCTTGGCCAGCAGGCGGTGTCCGTCATTATCTAGGATGAAAACAGCCTTGACGGTGTAGAGGGAAGGTTCCTGCAACTGACACGGGGTGGGTGAGGGAGTTAGACAACCCCCTTTGGCCCCTGACTCAAGGCAGGTGCCCTGTCATTGGTTTTAGGGGCCCCAGGAGTCTATCTAGGCTCAGGCTCCAGTGACCCCCAACCTAAAAGGCCCATAGCTGGTTCTGGCCCAATCCTGTCCCCCAGGGCCCACTCCGGGGGCTGCTCCTCCCCCAGGCAGATGCCCCCTGCAGGCCCCTGGCGGGCGCTCTGCACCCTGTGCGGAAGGTCCGCCCGGGCCCAAGTTCTGTCATGCACTGACTGCTGCAGAGCCCGAGTCGGAGTGTATCACAGAACCTGGGCCGGGGGGACGGCGGTGCCTCCTCCTTCCGGCTGGCCCTCCCCTGCGCGCCCCCAGCCGCCCCGGCCGGCGGGCTCCGGAGCGCACACGGCGGGGGCGCACGAGTCCGGGGCCCCCCATCCCTGCAGAACCTCAGTGCAGCCCCACCCCGAGCCGTCCCGTCGCTGCTCCAAACTCATCCAGAACTTCGGGCCCACGCGGACTCCGGACGGGCCTCCGCGGGAGTCCGTGCCCGCGCCCGCGCCCGCGCCCGCAGCAACTTTTCCTCCCGCCCGGCCCCCTCCCGGGCCGCCCAGCGGTGCCACCGAGTTCCCGGCGCCGGGCGTGCAAGTTGGGAGTTAGATCCCCCCCCACCCCCACCCCCCATTCCCTCCTGGGCCCCGATTCCTGCCCCCGGACCCCGGCGCCCGCCCGCCTGCTCCCTACCCGCGGCTCCGCGGGCTCCCCGGCCCGGGCGGGCGGTGCCGGGGCCCCGATCCCGGCGGCCGCGGCCCCCTCCCCCGGGTGCGGACGTGGCCAGGCCTCGGGCCGCTGCATTCCGCTCGCCGCCCGCCGCGCTGACAGCGCCGCCCGCCCGCCCCGCCCCGCGCCGCCCCGAGCCGCCCGCCCCCCCCCCGCGCGGCGCCGGCCTTTCCTCTCCTCTCCCCGCGGCCCGGCCCTCCCTCCTGCGCCCCACACCCAGCGCTCCTGCCCCATCGCTCCCTCCTTCCTCCCTAAAGTCCGAGCCCCCGCCGGTGCCCCGGACCCCCCCGCCTCCCGCCGTCCCCTCCTCTCTGGCTGCGGGCTGGGTTGGCGGGCTAACGGGGCCTGCAGAGAACACAGGCAAAGTCCAGCTTTGTCTCTGAACTGCGGGTAAGTACGTGCGACCAATGCAACCGGGCCCCGGGGACAAGTTCCAGCCGTGGGAGCCGCGAGGGCAGCTCTGGAGAGGCCCTTTGCGCAGGGCAGGTCTGCCCACGGCCACTTCCTCCCGGGCCATGGCCAGGACCCTCTGAGGCCTCCCAGGCACAGACAGACACACACAGACAGACAAACTTGAAGCAAGACCGATGCCTAGCAGCATGGCTGCCCCATGCAAGGCTTGGCCTTGCTTTGGCAATAGCAGGGAGCAAGCCTTCCCTCCAGGATACCCAGGCCAGTGGGAGAGTCACCCTGCAGAGCCAACAGCACTGACCCACTTACCCATCACACCCTCATGCGTATATTTCACCCGTAAACACTTTCACAGACATGACCCAACCCAACCCACACCTGTGAGGTAGGTATTATCACTCCTATGTTAAGGAAGGGAGACTCAGACCTTTTCAAGATTTTAAAAAAATATATAGTTTTATTGAGCCCAGCCCATGACAGACTCAGTGGTTGAACTTTGACCTATGACCAGGAGGTCACGGTTTGATTCTGGTCAGGGCACATGCCCAGATTGTAGGCTCAATTCCCAGTGTGGTGTGTGCAGGAGGCAGCCGATCAATGATTCTCTCTCATCATTGATGTTTCTCTTTTCCTCTTTTAAATCAATTAAAAAAAAACACACACACATTAAAAAATATATATTTTTTTATTAATTTCAGAAAGGAAGGGAGGGGGAGAGATTGAAACATCAATGATGAGAGAGAATCATCGACTGGCTGCCTCCTGCATGCCTCCCACTGCGGATCAAGCCTGCAACCAGGGCACGTGCCTCCCTCCCCCCTTTTTTTTGGGCTAGAAGCATTATTTATTTATTTATTATTTTAAAAAAATTAATAAATCCTTATTGTTCAGATTATTACAATTGTTCCTCTTTTTTCCCCCCAAAGCTCCACCCCACCGGTTTCCACTCTACCCTCTGCCCTTACCTCCTTCCCCATTGTCCTCATCTATAGGTGTACGATTTTTTAATTTTTTAATTTTTTTATTGTTAAATATATATATTTTATTGATTTTTTTTTTACAGAGCAGAAGGGAGAGGGATAGAAAGTTAGAAACATTGATGAGAGAGAAACATCAATCAGCTGCCTCCTGTACACCCCCTAATGGGCCTTCTCCTCACAAGACTTTGAGAACAGAAATAATATTTCTTTTCTGTCTTGCTCACTGTGGAATCCCTCTCCTCCCTACCCGCTCTGGCCCCCAAACTGGGCCTGATTTGCCAGGAAGCATTTGTTGAGTAAGTGAATGAATAGGTGAAGTTCGGGATGAAGGAGATCATGTGCATTGGCAAAGTACCTATTTTAAGCAAATAATTAAAATATACTTATCAATGAAACCATGTTTTAGGTGACATACACATATTTATTGAGTGCTTACTATGTACCAGATACTTTTTAGTCACTGGGCTTCACGTGTCGACAAAATATCCAAAATCTTTGCTCTCGTGGAGTTTATATTCAAATGTCAGTGTGTGTGCACAGGTTTCTTTGCAAGTCAGATAATAAATAGATATTATGTAAGTTGCTGATAAATGCTACAAAGAATAATAGAGCAGGAATAGGGGTCAGGAATGTAAGGGTTGGCGGGATCTGGGCAGAGTGCCATTTCCATTCGTGTCACTGAGGAAAGCCTTCAAGAAGATGACATTTGAAGAAAGAGCTGAAGGAAGTGACAGAGTAAGCCATGCAAACATCGGATGAAAGCGTCTACCGAACCTCTTTGTATGATGATTTAGAAGGCACCCGGGATCTCCCTTGCAGGCTGTCCCGAGTTATCACAGTGAACGTTAACCAACACCGGTGCAATGTGGGAGTGAGGGGGGGGCAGTGTTTTATTTGGCTTCCAGATCACCAGGCATCGTGTCAATGATCATGCCAGCTTGGTGTGTTATGAAAAAATACTGACTTGATTATTTTTTTTAAATATATTTTATTGATTCTGTACAGAGAGGAAGGGAGAGGGATAGAGAGAAAGACTGATGAGAGAGAAACATCGACCAGCTGCCTCCTGCACATTTCCTATTGGGGATGTGCCTGCAACCAAGGTACATGCCCTTGACTAGAATCGAACCTGGGACCTTTCAGTCCACAGGCCGACACTCTATCCACCGAGCCAAACCGGTTTTGGCTGACTTGATTATTTTGACCCCTTAACATTTCTGTGAGCTAGTCCACTTAGGGAGCTGGGGTGGATCCATGGGCAGAGGGGGGGAGAAGGGTTAGAGCAGGAGTGGATAAGAAGGCACTAGAGAGAGGCACAGAGGCCGGCAGAAAGAGAAGGCAGGAAAGGAAGCTTAAGGACCATGAAATCCTTATCATCAACACCACTTTGGCTGCTCTTGTTTTAATCACCAGGATGCTGTGGTGAATAAGTACAGAGCCTTCAAGCTGAACTTCTCAAGGAAGAGATTCTCTCATTGATGCTCCTTGCTCAGGGCCCCGGCCTAGGGTGCCCCTTTAGTGAGATTCTATGTAAAAACATAAGCGCGGTGTGCACGGTGCCCGGACAGTGCCTCCCACAGAGCATCGCCTCAGAGGACCCGCAGGGTAAGCCTGGCAGCACCTGAGAAGCGGCCAGTGCAGCAGGGAAGCCTCCCCAGAACGAGGAAGCCAGAGCTCTGCCCGGCCCCGGTGACTCGGTTGAGTGTTGGCTCACGCGCCAGGAGGTCGCTGGTTCAATTCCCTGTCAGGGCACAGGCCCGGGTTGCAGGCTTGGTTCCCAGTAGGGGGTCTTCAGGAGGCAGTTTATCAATGTTTCTCACATCAATGTTTCTCTCTCTTCAATAAATAAAACTATATATATATATAAAATTCTCAGTTGAAGATATTTTTTTCCATAGGTTATATATATATAAATAAATTATTGATTTTTTTTACACAGAGAAAGGGAGAGAGATAGAGAGTTAGAAACATCGATCAGCTGCCTCCCGAACACCCCCCACCGGGGATGTGCCCACAACCAAGGTACATGCCCTTGACCGGAATCGAACGTGGGACCCTTGAGTCCGCAGGCCGACGCTCTATACACTGAGCCAAACTGATTTTGGCTCCATTGGTTTTTAGATAGAGTGGAGGAGAGGGAGGGAGGGAGGCTGGAGGTTTAGGGGAGAGAGAGGGAGAGGGAGAGGGAGAGGGGGAGGGAGAGGGAGAGGGAGAGGGAGAGAGAGAGACATCAATTGGCTGCCTTCCACTCTTGGGGCGTGGGATTGAACCTGAGCCCTTTTGCTAACACTGACCGCTGAGCAGCCCGGCCAGAGCTAACCCTGTTAAGAACAGCAAGAGGCAGGTGATCCAAAGGGTCCCCCCTGGGCCTCGGCACGTCTTGGAGGTGAGTCCGTTCTGTTTCCTCTGACTCAGCCTGCGGCTGCCACAGCTCTGTGTTGTCTGTCCCAGGATTCTGGCATCTGTTCTGTGTGACAAGAAGAAACAGCTCCCTTGGGTGGCAGCTCTCTCTCCTGCTCTAATGTCAGGAGGGGGAGGCGTGCGTGGAATGTGAGGCCTGGGCGTGTGCTTGGGTATTCTCCAGAGAGAAAATGAGGCGCCCGTGCTCGCTCTGCAGGCTGGTTTCCAGCTGACCACCCTCAGCACGGCTCTCCCGTCTTCATTGTATTTGGCTTTCTCTGGGAGGATAAGGCTGTAGGGTGGGCAGAGTTGGGACCTAACAGCCGAAACCGGTTTGGCTCAGTGGATAGAGCGTTGGTCTGTGGACTGAAAGGTCCAGGGTTCGATTCCTGTCAAGGGCATGTACCTTAGTTGCGGGCACATCCCCAGTAGGGGGTGTGCAGGAGGCAGTTGGTCAATGTTTCTCTCTCATCAATGTTTCTAGCTCTCTATCTCTCTCCTTTCCTCTCTGTAAAATATCAATAAAATATATATTAAAAAAACAAAAACAAAAACAAAACCAGAGTTGGGACCTAACAATCAGCTCTATGCCCGAGTGACTTTAGCCGTAGGATCTGATTTTTTTTTTTTTTTTTTTTAACTCTCACCTCTTCCCTCCCTGGATTTTTAGAGAGAGGAAGGGAGAGAGACAGAAACATCTGTGTAAGAGAGGATCATCGATGGGTCCCCTCATGTGCCACCAAGATTGGGAATTGAACCCAAAACCTTTTGGTGTATGGGCTGATGCTCTAAGCAACCAGCCGCCTAGCCAGGGCACATCAGTCTGATGTTTAGACTTTGAGTCTGTAGATTGTCATCTCCACTTAGCGCAGGGGCCTCACCTAGGAAGTGGCAGAGCCATGTTTTGAACCCAGCGCTGAGTCCAAAGCCTCTCACGGTAGGGCCTTCCTGACAGAGACATGCCAGCCTGGGCGCTAGACCAAGAAGTTACCGGCATTGTTAGGGGCATGTGGAGGGGGCGTTTAGGGCTCAGCTTCCTCAGAGGTTATGCCAAGACATGAGTGAGCAACGAGGTGTTCTCATTGGCTGCTGCTAGGTCAAGGAAGAGAGCATCTGGGGATTGAGAAATAGTACCTCCTTTCCCAGGCGGAGATTCTAGTGTGTGCTCATGCGTTAGCACTGTTTCACTGATGTCCTTTTTTTTTTTTTTTTTTTTTTTTAAGTTAAATCACTTTAGCCGAAACCGGAGGGATAGAGCGTTAGAAACGTCGATGAGAGAGAAACATCGGCCAGCTGCCTCTTGCACACCCCACACTGGGGATGTGCCCCTGACCGG